CAGAGGTAGATGACAGTTTGAGATCAGCATGGTCTATGTGGTGAGAAGAGTTACATGGTGATACCCTGTCTAAAAATAAAGGATTCATTTTTAATTTAATTTAAATTTTTAAATTTTAAGTAATTTTAGGAGTAATTTCATCTAGCTAGTATCTGCTAACACACTTCTCTGAAAAAATCATTCTGGTTGATTTTGATTAGGAATCCTTATTTGGGAAACATGGGTGTTTTATTCCATTGCCTGTCTTGGCTTGTAATCTAAGCAGTTTAAGATAATATTCATGAATAAAGTATTTCTTTTAGAAAAGGTCATGAGTATCACAATTTGGGGAGACTGAGGGATGTGAGACTGCAAAGCCAACAATATGAAAGCTGCTTGTCCTTACTTGTGTTGGGGCTGGAGCTGATGACCTACCAGAGTCTGTTGTTAAAAGAGTAAATGTCTCAGGATTTAAGCATCTGGTCAGAAAAGCATCTGGGCAGCACACATCAGCTCCTGTTCACATTTTAACAGCTCTTTGCAGAAAAGCTTGGTGTGGCGTGTACTGCTTGAAAAGACAGCAAAGCCACGGGATCTGGATTTACTTCTGCCATGCTCAAGGATGGATCCCTCGGCAAATCCAGCTGCTGAGCTCTGCTGAAATCCAGTGTGGAACTCCCTCTGAAACTGGTAGTTCTCTGGCAGGAGTTTCAAGACCTCAGTGAGTCTTTCAGACTCTGAGTTCACTTGCCAGGTGGTTCAGGAAAAATTTATGCCAAATGACAAGTGTGCCCAGAGAGCTGCAGGATTTCTATCTGAGAGCATAGGGGGTTAATGACAGGTTCTGTAGGAAAAACTGGGGCAGTGGGCCAGAATAAGTAGGAGGCCAGAAATGCTCAGGGTGACTTAAATGGGACAGAACTGTTATTTCTATCATCTTTCCTAACCTAAGGCTGAGTCCTCACAGAGTAACATGAATGTATCCCTCCCCCGTGGGCATTTTTATGACACCCTATGTGGTTGTCAATATCGTGTCTGTAGACTTCTCTAAAACTGGCAAATTCTTATGGGACCCTGATGATCTGATACCATTCAATATAGGTGTTGCATAGTTGTGAGTGATCACTGTCTCTGGTTCCCCCAAAACTCAGATTTCTACAGTCATTACAGCCTAGAGCGACATTAGGGACACTGCCGACTCTGGCATTTACAGGGACCCAGCTTGCTGAAGTGATCCTGTAACAGTAATACAAGGGTTGAGTAACAGAGCCAAGGAGAGATATTTTATGCCTGCTGAGTGACAGTGGCAAGGTACACAGTCCTGTTGTGTTTGTGTGTTGTGAGTACTCTATAGAGCAAATAGGACAATGTATCTTCTGCTCGCCCATCATGAGGGTATGGAAGAAGGAGGATGTTCAAAGAGAATTCCATTTCTTCCCGTCTCAGTGAAAAAGAACCCTTCCATGTAGTAGTAGATTGATTTTCTTTGGAGAGAAAATGGGCCCTTGTCATAAAAAGAATATACTCCACTTTTTTTTTTTTAAACAGATTGCTGTTCTGGATCCCATGTAGTGGGTCACATGCTTGTGCTCTTTCCCTATATACTGAGGTTACACTCTTCTATTCCTTCTATTTTGGGCATGCATTTCCAGAGACTGTCAAGACTCATAGGACTCTTGCTCTATCTTCCTCCTGTCTGTCACAGGAAGCCATTCTTGCCATTGCATTCCGAATTTTATTTCACTTTCCTGGGGTTTGAAAGCTTGTGATTTTACTGTTATGTCATCACTATTAAAATAATATCCTCCATACTTTAATTTTTCAGGCTCTATATTGGGATGGTTAAGCATTCATTTGACAATTGCTACAACATTCAATTTTGTCAGTATTTTATCAGCCAAGATATTGGTTCCTGAGTTCTTCCCATTCAATTTGAAGTGAAGTAGAAGCTTCAGTAAAGATGCTCTTTATTTTTGGAATTGTCAGGCACAGGGCTTGACTGACAAGTTCCCATCAGAACACATGCTGAGGGAAGTCTATTTTTCAATCTTCAGTTCATTACTTGGGCTGGTTAAATGGCCCCAGGACTTGGCTTAGCTGCTGCACTGTTTGTGTAGTGTAGACTTTCTGAATGTCTTTTAGTTTTTTTTAAGACAAGTCTCCGGCACTTCAGACTTGGCACTTGCAACCTACCACCAGTGCGGTGTACAGCCACCTCCACCTGCTTTGTTCTTATTGTTGAGGCAGAGGCCCATGTTTTCTAGGATGGCCTTGAACTCATTGGTAGCTGAGGATCACCTTGAACTTCTGATTCACCTGCCTTCACCTGGCATTATAGACATGTGGCATCATGCCTGGAGTCTTAGTCAGGGTTTTACCATGATCAAGGCAAGTCTTACAAAGGACAACATTTAATTGGGGCTGGCTTACAGATCAGAGACTCAGTCCAGTATCATCAAGGTGGAAACACAGCAGCATCCGGGCAGGCATGGTACAGGTGGAGCTGGAAGTTCTACACCTTCATCTGAAGGCTGCTAGTGGAAGACTGACTTCCAAGCAGCTAGGGTGAGGGTCTTAAGCCCACACCCACAGTGACATACCTACTCCAATAGGGCCATTCCTCCTAATAGTGTCACGCCATGGGTCAAGCATATACAAACCATCACACCTGGTTTATATGATAGTGTGGATCAAACCCAGGGCTTCTTGCATGCTAGGCAAGTAATCTACCAACTGTGCTATATCATGTTCCCATCTGTCTTAGCAGCACCCACCACTTCCCTATAACGATCAAGTCAGCTCATTCTCATTTGAGGTCAGTATAGTTCTGAGGACCTCAACAACACTCAGCCACTAAATAACTCCATGTGGCCATCATGGTTGGAGGTAGAGATAAGGATGTTTTGAGTAGGTGCTGAGATAGGGCTGGAGGTAGAATCATGAAGATCTGAGCCAATTCCTCTACAACAAAATGAAAAAATTTACCTTCCCTCCCACCTCCTTTTCTGCCTTCTAAAACCCAAGGCCAGCAAGGACCCTCTGCTCAACCAACAGTTGTAATCGATATCCATGGTAAATAGTGGTATGGAGAGAGATTGTTTAGCTTTAAGGACTGAAGTTAAGCCTAGTGTGGTGACACATAGCTATAACCTAGACACTCAGGATGCTTTAATCAAAGAACAGAGAAAATGATTCTACATAATTTTATACTGTATTTACCTGGGACCAGTCTTTATTACAAGAATTTCCTTCCTTCAGCTTTTGTTACAATCATTTTGCAGGTCTTCAGAGTAACCTGGTATAGATTCTCTTGGTTGCTTACCAGTTTTCACATAATTCTTTAAAAAGTAGACAGATTCCCCATAGGTCATGATTGTGATAAGAGAGGCAAACGGCTCAGTTGTAGACCTGCTGACTGCTCAGTCCTGAGCCACGCCTGTCATTTAGCTTCTTCCAGGCTATGATCACATGGTTAGAAACAGCATCTTTCCAATGGGTTTGCTACCCTCCATAGAGCCAGGGCTGGGCACTTCAGAAATCCCTGTTTCTGTCTCATCAGATCCTCTTATCTGTCAGGCTGCTGTGTCTGCCTCACCACTGAGATGCAGGACACCATTGGCATGTTACTCAGGGAAGGCAGAACCTAGTCTAGGATAGGGGTTCCAGCCTGTGTTTTCCTGGGTGAGGAACAACAGGGGCTGGGACAGGTGATGTGATTCTCAATCTCTTGTGTACCCAGATGCTGCTGGGGATCACAAGAGCTGAGAACCGTGGTCTGTGAGTTCCTGCTTCCTCTATGTGCCAGGCAGGAAGGGGATGGTTGGGTCCCAGAACCAAGCAGAATCTGATTTGTTTCAGAGTGAGTGTGGAGAGTACAGAGAGGCTGGAAGAGAGAAGGCCTTCTCTTTCTCGGGGAGATTTAGGAGAGGCTTTTTACCACAAAGAATGCCCCTATCCTTGATGAAGGTGATAGTCTTTGTTTGTCCAAACTGCTTTATGATGGATGTGAGTGTATCATCTTACTCAGAGTAGCCGAGGGATTAAATACCTTTTGCAGAAAGGAATGCCCAGGAAGGGAAGCTCATTGGCTAAACAGTTGAGTCCCAGCTAGATACCTCATTAGCATGGAGAACTCTAGGTTTTTATACTACTTGACTGGTTGTAATGGTCCTCTCAGTGGGGCATCATGGTTCTAGGACAGGTGGAGTCTTGCCAGGAGCTGGTTTTTAACACCTGGCATTCTTAATTATGAGATTTCCCAGGGTTTTGGAACCTGCTTTATTTAACAGTTCCTCTGTCTGGTGGCATGGCCCACTGCCTTCATACTTACCTTTGTGCCTCTTTACTCATATTTATTGAGCCATTGTCAAGAAAGCACGTTAACATGTTGACATGAAGAGGGAGTTCCAAAGCCTGGTCAGGGTTCAGTGCCCCACTTCAGTTAGGAGCTGTGTGATCTTGGCAAGTCATTAACTCCTCAGAGCCACAGTCTCTTTCTCTATGAATGGAAAAGAACAGTGGTTCAACCTGCCTGGGGTTGGCAAGGGTCAAATGAGAAGATGCAGAGGTGTTTGTCAAGTCAGCTCATGGTTAAAACCCATTCCTGTTTGAGCAAATCAAATTTGTGTGCAGAAGACGAGTTAATTTGCCATCTTCTGCCCTTCTCAATCTAAGCACAGCCCACAGTGCTCCCTGTCACTCGAACATTAAAAAAAAGTCCTCTGATCAATTTGATAGCAAGAAGAGTCTCCTTCCAAAAATCTAGATGTCTAGTCTGGCATTACAATCAAATTTGAGAGCAATATTTAATTTAGGACTTCTGTCCGTTCATCTTCCCCCAGGCTATGGTGTCGAGTGGAAAAAGGAGAGATGCGATTCACAGGGCTGCCCTGAGGAAGTGAGAGTCTGCCTTGACCTCCAGCCACAAAGCCAGGCAGGACTTGGAGAGAGACCATGTAGGGTGTCTTGTGTCCAGGGTCTTCGTTGATTTCTCTGTCTCATTGTTTTCTCCTTTGTCCTAGTGCCTTGGCTGGTGCTCAGTGAGATCTTTCCTGGTGGAATTAGAGGCCGTGCCATGGCCCTGACTTCTAGCATGAACTGGGGCATCAACCTTCTCATCTCCTGGACATTTCTGACAGTGACTGGTAAGAACTCTTTCCCATTGATGTCCTCATAATCGCCATAAAACTTTGTATTGTGGAAAATTTTCAAATATACCCAAAAGTAGAGAAATTGGTAACAAACCAGTATGTAGCTATGTACCCAGCCTAAGCAGCCTTCAATCTTTATGCCTTTCTAACCCCATGCCCCGTATATATATATACGACATGATTCAAAATAATTTGATTATATATATATACAAGTTATTACACACACACACACACACACACACACACATATATATGTATGTATGTATGTATGTATGTATGTATGTATGTATCATGGATCTCTAAAAGTTTAGAGCATAATAAATATAATTATCACCCTTGAAATATTAATAATTTTCCCCAGTATATCTCTGTTTACATTCTACCAAGTACCTTATAGTTATTTTTTATTGCTTGAGTTATCTGTGAATATGTAACTTACAGTTGAATTTTACATCTGAGCATGCAGTTTTAGGGGAGAGACTACCTAGTTTGCTGCACAAATTTTTGCACGATCTGGGTCTTGATAGATTTCTGTCTCATGTTCTTTGTGCTCTCTGTAAGTTCCTATGTCGATCTACATGGAGACTTGGAAGTCCTTAGAGTTTCTACCAATTAGCACATTCCTGGCAAGTGACCTCAGGATGTCTTGTCACCCTCCCAGTTGGCTGCCCAACCCCCACCCCAGGCTATGTTGAGCTCCTTGGATCTTCCCACCCATATCCTCTGTTGTTCTTTCAGTCTGCTTATGGTGTTTGTTGTTGTTTTGTTATTTTACTTTCTTGGAATGCTTCTCTAAAGAGAGATTTCTTCTCACTGCCATTTGGCTACTCTGAATATGGATCTCATATAAGGCAAGATAAGTTCTTGAAAATTCCTGCATTAGTTCTCAAAATATTGAAGTAACAATGTGGTTCACCAGTGCTCTTCAAAACTGACAACTGAGATTTTTGAAATTAACACACACACACATGCAGGGGGGGGGAGAGAATCTGTTATTTAGTTATATATTAATATAACATATTAATATTAATATATATGAATTAATATATTAATATATATGAAAAACAACAAATGACCTGAATTGTTGCAGGAAGGCTGGCTGACTGGCTGCTCTACTGGCTGAGGTAAGGAAGAGGAGGATGGACCCTTGAATAGATTTTTTAGCATGAATTCCCCCCCAATAGTTATCTTTCCAAGAACTGACTTTGACTGTATAGTAGAGTCTGACCTTGAATTCACAGCAATCCTCTTATGTAAGTATCCTCCCTCAGCTGGGATTATAGGCACAAGCTACTATACGACCAGATTCAATTAGTTTTTAAGGGCTGGACTGATCAAAAATATTTAGTTGATTTCTACTTGAGATGTCTAAAGATTTCTATGTATTTTCAAAGATCAGTCATGGATTTAAGATGTCTTTTCAGTCAGAGTGATTTAAGAGATACAAGTCTTTTTTTTTACTGGGCAATAGGCCTTTGGATAGCAAAGTTTTAGTGAGAGGCACAAGCATACTGTTTTAGTAAACAAGCATTGTACGATGGGCTTTGAATTCAGTTCTGAGTACGCTAGTCTGACTCACTGTGTGCCAAGCCTAGGACCAAGCAGAACATTCCAAAAGATAGATCTGCAGTCTGAGTAAGGTAGATGGGTTGTGGCAATGAGATATTACTCTGTTACTGCAAGTGTTCAAACAGAATGAGGAACAAGTTTAATGAGATAGCCTTTTGGGCTTTACTAATTCCAACTAACTCTACAAGTGTTTGATTAAGCAATCCACCAGGCATAACATTGCACCAGTAGCAAGAAAGGCACAGAGATAGGATTGATTCAAATGGTCAGAGAGCTGGATTGGCACTCAGAGGATGGCTCAGCAGTTAGGAGCATTTGCCGTGCAATTAGGATGATCAGAACTTTCATTCCAGCATCCACTTACCAAGCTGGGCACCTGGCACACACCTGTAGCCCTAACACTGGGCCTGGCAGAAACTGGAGGATTGCAAGGGCTGGCTAGTTTCCATTCTAGTTGAGAAAACATAGACCTCACGTGTGGGAGAGACCTTGCTTCAAAGGAATATGCAAAGGGTAATAGAGGATTAGACCTGGTGTTTTCAGACCTCCATGTTTGCATGTGTGCACATAAACATATATACACATACACATGCACATACACACACTCATACACATATACATACTCACACACATGCACATACACACATACCTACATACACGTGCACACATGCACATACAGACATACATACACACACATGCAGACACACATATACATGCACACACATATACATACACACACATATATAGGCATACACTTGTAGCATGTAACTTTAAAAATCCATGTTAAATCTGGCTAGGTGCCAGCATCTGTATTTATACCTAGCCCCCACACCTAACTTGGTGTCATGCTACCATGCTATTCTGTCTGCCGCAATCTGGTGGCAATCTCTGTCTGCTTCTAGCCCAGTGCAACAGCTTGAGAAAGTGATTGCCACAGACCTGTTTCTCCCAGCCAATGCCGTCTCTGCCTCTCCAGAGCTCTTGCCAGCCTACCACCCTGCGGCCAGCTCTGCCAGTGCCATGGCCACCACATGGCTGCTCCCTCTCACTCACCCACCTGAATTGTTGCCAGTGGAAAACATCAGACAATCTTAATATTTAAAATCAACAGATGACACAACTGTTGGGCATGGAATCCATGTTGGAATTCTTCTGGTGGTAGAGGTCACCACTGGGTCTAACAATCCCTGGCCTATATCCTGTACCTTCTCATCCACCTGCAGTCTGTTCTCATCCTCTCTCCCTCTCTTCCTATCCTGCCTGAAAAATCCCTCTTCCACATCTTCTCCCAGCAATTGGCTTCTTGTCGTCTTTATTAGCCAATCAAATAATTGGGGGAATTTACCTACATACACTCATACACACACATACACTCCCCCCACCCACACATACATACACACCCATTCACACATAACATACACACACACATACACCTTTAAAAAGAAAGAAGTGCCTTTGTCTTCTTCCCGTTCCTTCCCACTTCATCTCAGACTTACCTATAAGTAGTTACTATGCTTAGATCTGTCAACACTGCAGTCAAAAATGGCTTCCATATGTAACACTCAGTTCAGTTTTCCTCTTGACCAACTGAGAGGTGTCACTGTAGCTGTTAAGGGTCATTTGCAAATCTTGCCTACAATTGGTCTGAGCATGTGTGTAAAAAGAGCCAGATACTTCTCCACTATTCCTTGTCATCCTGAACTTTTACTCTGGTCCAGGGACCAGCACAATGGACAAGCTTACACAAGTCAGAATGTCTAGTGTAACATACCTTGAACTTGGCTAATGGTTAGAAAGGGATTATATCTTTGTTCCGAAGTGGTCAAGAGAGCTGACAAGTGAAATCTGTCAAAATCTCGAGGATCTCAGTTATTGCCCATGATGTCTTACCCAGCAGATTTCCTTCATCGACCCTGGTCTCACATTGAAATTGTTATGGTTGTAAGACAGCTTTGTATTCTACCTGAGAAGGTTACTGGGGCGGTATTATAAAACAAAGTGAACCTGGCCATCTTCTGACTTTGTAAATCTTACTCCCATGGAGAGTACTACCATGCACAAAGATACACATGGCTTCCTATGGGCTCTGAGAAGTGATGGTCACGATGGGATCAGTGTAGCACAGAATACATTTCTAATCACTTTCTTTTGTCCCTTATAGATCTTATTGGCTTGCCGTGGGTATGCTTCATATACACAATCATGAGTCTGGCATCCCTGGTTTTTGTTGTTCTGTTTATACCTGAGACTAAGGGATGCTCTTTGGAACAAATATCAGTGGAGCTAGCAAAGGCGTAAGTATTTGTATCATTGTTCTTTGATCAAAGTTCAGTTCTTATATACAATTAAATGACATGTGAAGTTATTTTAGGATATTCCCTTTGCTGTAAAACTGTCTACATAATCCCACTTCCCCTACCTTGTCCATGATGTATGTGAACTTTTGCTTATTGATACACAAGTCTTTTAAACTCTATTCAGTGATGAGCAAGAATCCCAGGTTGGGCATAGTACTAAAAACCCGTGATCCTAGCACATCAAAGGTGAAGCCAAGAAGACTGAGTTCAAGGTGACCCTTAGCTACATGTAAGTGTTAGGCCAGCTTCCAGATACCTCGCCTCAACCTTCCTCTGTCCTATGAGAAAGAAATCTTCATTTCTAGCTCTTCACTCAGGAGGCCACCTTTGTTCGAGGTTCTAGGTAGATGTGGGATACGATCCCTGTCCTGAGCTAGGACCATGCTTCATCTAAAACAGGCTCAAGAGTCTTTTGAGCCCAAACCCTTAAGGCTACGATTAGCAGAAGCACTCTTGGTGCTAAATGTCTATAATTCCTTACAACATGGCACATTTAAGTTAATTTTAGTAAAGGTAAGGAGTGTCTTACATGGTTAGGCATTTAGAATTTTAAGTGAATTACACATGGAGAGATGAGATAAAGAATTTAACAGGCAAGTGGGCCATGAACAACTTTCAAAGGCAGGGCACCAAGTTCTAACTGATCAGACTTATGGCCCACGGGAAGTGGTGGCCACAGTCTAGGAATGAAAGGAAACATGTTCTTCTTAGGATTAAATTGGAAATGGGGTCATGCTTAGTCCTACACTTTACTACAAAGGAGAAAACCATATTATATTTTTAATAGGTTGTAAGTTCTCTTTTAAAAAATTATGCTCGGGCACTGGGGAGACATGTATGGTGCCAGGAACACCCTAGGCTATAACAGTGTTATAACAGTGTTATAACACCCTATAACAGTGACACCCTAGGCTCCATCTGAGGGAACCTTTAGTGTGACAGATGAGCAGATAGCAGGAGTATGTGTGCAGACATAAAGGCCGGCCAGAGAGTCCTGTGTTAGCCTGGGCAGGAATGAGTAGACTCCTGGAAAACTTGCACTTTGTGTTGATGAACCTTGGTGTGTTTGCAATCTTTAAAACAGTTTACTTCACTAAGCAAAACCTCAATTCAAATTGTAAGTTGACTATCAAGTTTGGGGTTACTCTTTGCTGCATATCATATCACTTTAAGAAAATGAAATGGAAATGATTAATTTCTAATGAGGCAAATGCAGTTGTCAGGAAGGCTGATTGATTAGCTAACTGTACTTGGGACTGGGCATGAGCAGATAAACCCTTCTTCTTAGCTGCCTGACTGCATTTAGCACAGGTTTGCTTTTTGTTTGCTTAAAAGAGGGTCTCAAAACAGCCTGGACTTGAACTTTCAACCCCCATCCTCCACCTCTCAACACAGAGCAAGTTTTTATTGAGGATCCTGAGATGTTGCTTTGTCTGCAGCCTAACACGGTTCATGCAATGGGAGGGGCAAGCAGTAAGAATTAAAATAAATGAGCCACATCCTGGCTACCCTCATCATGTCTTTGCCTGCTACTTCAGTTATGATTTAACTCTTCTTCCCTAAGGCAACAGGCAAAGGAGCGAAGTCTGGAGAGGTAGCACACACCTTTAATTCCAGCATGGAGGACGCAGAGAGGCAGAGGGGCAGAGGGGCAGAGGGGCAGAGGGGCAGAGGGGCAGAGGGGCAGAGGGGCAGAGGGGCAGAGGCAGGTCTCTGAGTTCCAGGCTTCAGTGCTATATAGTGATTCTTTCCCCAATAAAATACTGAAAATTAAGAAAACAACAAGAGGGCTGGAGAGATGGCTCAGTGGTTAAAAACACTGACTGTTCTTCCAGAGGACCTGAGTTCAATTCCCAGCAACCACATGGTGGCTTACAACCATCTGTAATAGGATACAATGTCCTCTTCTCGTGTGTCTGAAGACAGTGACAGTGTACTCATATACATAAATAAATAAAAAAAGAAAATAAAAAAGAAAACAACAAGAAACTGTTTCTACTTTAGGTGGTAAAGAAGAAATTAGATCATTGTAGGATACCATGTCCTGTAGCACAAAGATAAATTGCTGGTTTTGTTAGAAAACTTCATTGTATAAGGTTTTTTTCCCCTAAAGGAGAGAATACCAGAGCTGAATTTTGTTTTGTTTTGTTTTGTTTTTTGTTTTTCAAGACAAGGTTTCTCTGTGTAGCCCTGGCTGTCCTGGAACTCATTCTGTAGACCAGGCCATAGACCAAGCCGGCCTCGAACTCAGAAATCCGCCTGCCTCTGCCTCCCAAGTGCTGGGATTAAAGGCGTGCGCCACCACAGCCCAGCTACCAGAGCTGACTCATGAAAGGGTCTCTGGGTCTGGGGTAGGGTCATGCCCAGGAATGTTACACTCAGAGCTATGCTACGGAGGTAACATGCCTTTGAGACTGGGAGATGAGCTCAGAACAAACAGGGCCCAGGCAGGGTCTCTATCTTAGTAAAGAATTTGGACTTTAAAGGCAGTAGTGGGTTTTTTTTTTTTTTTTTGGTTTCTTTTTTGTAATGTGTAGTGTGTGTGGAATATACACACGTGTTGGAATACTTGTGCTGTGAGTACACATATGGAAGCCAAAGCTGGACTTTGCTACCTTCCTCTATTGAGCTCCACTGTATTCCTTTGAGCTAGGGTCTCTCAATGAACTTGATGGTCACATTTTGGCTAAGCTGGATGGCCTGGATCCTTTCGGCTCCACCCCTCAGTGCTAGGATTGCAGGCAGGCTTAGCCATGCCTAACTTCTACATACATGCTGAAGATTTCAACTCAAGCACCCATGTTTGTACAGAAATGCTCTTATCCACTGAGCCACCCCTCTAGCAGTTTAAAATAAAAGGAGATGAAGTAGCCAGGGTTTAGAAAGAACGGTTTTGGCAAAATTGGAAGGGTAGACAGAGATGTGGCTGAATGGAGCTATTTGAGATGGCAGATGGGAAGGTGTAAAGCTGGACATGGTGCAGTATGACAGCCCATGAAACTGGGACCTAGACAGGAAGGAGGGATGAGGGGAAAGAGGCAATTAGAATTGTTCTCAGGCTTCCAGAATCAATCCAGTATGCAATAGTGACATTCAGGGCAGCAAGATGTTAGGGAAGAGGGGCAAGTTTGGCAGAGGGTCTGGTGTGGACGTTGGGGTTAGCTCTGAGTTCCATCTGTACAGATCCCCTCTGTGGTGCGCATGAGACTTGCAAGTGGAGGGAATGCAGGCATGCACAGGAATCTGGGACTTAGGAGAAACATCTCTCAAGATACAGATATGGTAGTCAACACAGGGATGCAGGTACTTGGTACATGGGCAGTGGCAGGGTGAGAAACATTTGCAGAGCCCAAGCATTTGGCAGCTAAGAAAAATATTAAGAGTCATTGATGCAGAAGAGGCTGGCTTGAGCAGGTGAGACATCTGAGGCTTTCCTTTTGTTGTGTGTGTGGTAAATCCAGTTTGTGTGTTTGCACTTTGAATTACCCAACTCATAACTCAAGGCATAAAATATGTTTTACAAGTTTGTTAAAAACAGTCTTGTGAACAATAGTAAGTCTGTTAGGATCGAATTGCCAAATGAACCGTTACTTTCCTTTAATAGACAAAACCAAGGGCTTATTATCGATCACACTGTATTTCCTTCCAAAAGTCTTAACTTTTAAAACTTTCCTCATTAAGCAGCTTTCAGATAGGGTTGTCAAGTAAAGCAAACCACAAATCCTAACAACTTAAACAGAATTAAGAAATACCCAATCTTTTTGCTTAGTGGTCTTCAAGAATGTTCCTTAAGAGCATAGGATTTGGGTGTACCTAAAACTCAGCAAAACTTATTCAGCAGTCTGGGAGGGGGAGAATAGTAAGAGAGTACACTCCTGATTTACTGTCTATGAGAACCAAATTTGGTTATTTTGAGTCATGCAGTTACTCAAAACCTCAGTCTGGGCACCGTCTGAGGCAGCCATTTGTTGAAAACTAGGAGTAGACTGAAGTGAAGTTATCATGACCTCTCAACAGTACTGTGAGGGATAACAGGCAAGGGCATGGGGGTGAGGGGCAGAGAAGTTGGAAGATGGTGGCCTAACAGGTCTGTGGCTTAAACGCAGTGCTAGCAACAGCAGTACCTGTCGGGTGCATGCTGCAGGGGAGCCCCCAGATGGAGCTCTGAAAGGAAAAGAATTCTTTCAGCTCCGCATCACACAATCCTAAAGAGCCAAAAGCTTTTTTCCTGCTTGGTGCAGTAGGTTGAGAAATGCTTTGAAAATGAAAATGTGTAAGCAGCTTGAGTTATGTAAACTGACAAGAAGTGTTTGAAGCATACATTAAGCAAGGTTCCCTGGAGAGAAATGCCAGAGACAGAAAATTTTGGTATGAGTAGATTATCACATTAACCAAGGAAATGTAGGACAGTGGAAAGCCCATGGAACTTGCTAGTACATGGAAACTGAAGTCAAGTTGATGGAGGAGGGCTATTACTGAGCTAAAGGAGTCTTTTGGAATCTAGAAGTTAATAAAACAAGCGAATCAACTTTTGTCACTATGGAAACCGGTCCTAGTGTGCAAATTCCAATAGAGTTTTCGTAAGGAGTAAGAAAGTTAACTATAACACCACATTAATTTTAAATTTGATAGTACACATGGTTTAATATTTACTCTCTCCTATTTAGAGTTGATCCCCACCCCAGCCCCAGTTTTTACAAAGCTGAGAAAACAAATATTCTTCCAAGGATGTTAACTTCCTTATAAAATAAATAGTGACTCAGCTGAGAGTCAGGAAACTTAGCTGCTATCATGTAATTTGAAAGCGTTTTGTTTTTAGTATCTGCCTTGCCAACTGCAAACCCTCAATGGGATGCTTGCTATATTTAGTTTCTTCAATGTGATTTTCGTTCCTTTTTTCCCCAACTTAGGTGAAAACAAACCAGCTAATGTTTTATAAAAGGTTTAGCATCACTAAACCTTTAGATTAGGTGTACTGTTAGCAGTTAATGTGATTTGTCCATTCCTGTAGGCAAACGAGCTGTTTCTAAATACTTACTGAGAGCTTGGGAGATGGCTTTGTCAGTTACGTGTATGCCAGCAAACATGTTTGTCCCCAGCATACGTGAAAAGTGGGGTGGTAGCAGTGAATCCCTCAATCCTAGCATTGGGAAAGAGAAGACAGGAGGCTAGGATCCCTGAAGCTTGCTGACCAGCCAATTCAGCCAGATCTGTGAGTTCCAGGTTCAGTGAGAGGCCCTGGGTGTATGTGTGAGATACCCAGTGTCTCCACAGAGCACACACAAAAAAGTACACAGTAAATAAATGAACAAATATGTATTTGTTGAGCAACTTATTATGCATCAGACACTGGTGAAGATTCTGTAACCAAATTATCAATGAGAAAAACCAAACAAAAAATATTTCCAGGATAAGAAAAATGTACTGACTAGTGTTTGGAGTGAGGCAGGCTTCAGAAGGTTGTGCTAAGATAACCTTTAATATATGACCCAGGAAGGTGGGGGTACAGAGAATGCAGGCAGAGAGCTGCTAGTCCAGAGGCTAACTCAGAAACAAGCTTAACCTGTTTCTTGGAGGGCAAGAACTCTTAAGAGGTCACAGTCCCTGGGATTGATAAAGCAGGCTGAGGGAGGAGTTGGTTGGCTTTAACTGCAGTGGGAGAGAACCAAACATTTCAGCACGGACAGTGAGTGACATGCCATGATTGGCATTTCAGGCCAGATGAGTTATGAGCAGCCTGAGGCAGAGGATGCTCACAAGCACAGTGCTAGCCTCAGATGGCCCTACATGACACATGGCAGCCACAGATCTCCAGTCTTCTGTCCTAGCGATTGTCTGGCTATGTGCTCACACCACCAGCCCTCCAGGATTGAGGACCAGTTTTGTACTCCCATGACATCAGCCCCCTGATACTCCTTCCCTTCTCCCTTTTCCTGCTTACCTCTTCATTCTCTCTGTTTTTATCTTTGTACTTTTTAACAACGTAAATACAAACTTGCAGGGATTTCCCACCCCACCCCCCTTCATTTAAAGATACAGCTCCATGAATCCCTGGCTTGTCTTTAACTTGTTACACGGTTGAGAATAACCTTGAACATCAGACCCTCTTGCTTCTACCTCCCAAGTGTAGTGATTATAGGTGTGTACCACCACATCTGGTTTATAAGGTGCTGGGGATTGAAGCCAGAGCTTCTTGTATGTTAGGCAAATAATTGGCCAACTAAGCTACATACTGCTTCTCCCTATCTTCTAAAAAAGGTATTTTGGTGCCGATTTTCTTCCAATTTGCCATTTCTTTCTTTATAGCAAAGTTCTTTATCCATTCTGCTCATTTCCCCTTCTCATCAGCCTGCTCCAGTAAGCCCTCTATGCACTTCCCTGGAATAGTCCTAACGCAGGGGCCAATTCTCAGCACGTCTTTAGTGGAATATGTGATCCTTTCTGAATAGCTTTACTGCATATGGGGCCCTATGTTCTGGCTGTCCCATCTCTCCACACACCTGTCCTCGCCTGGCTCCATGTCATCTCTGTGGTGATCTTGGACTTCCTCCTACGGATCTTCTCTCACCCTCCTTGCCTCATCTGGGTCAATGTCATGCCCTCTGAACCATGTGTACCAGGAGCTGAAATTAATCCATCTCGATCTTTCCTAACCTCAAAGTGTGTCTATCCATGGAGCCTTGCTTACAATCTCCCTTCATGTGAAGAGATAAGCTAAGCATGCTAAGAAGTCCACCCACTGGTTCCAGACCCACTTTCTCATTTGATGTCAGTGTCTTCCTTTTCTTTGCTGCAGCTAAACTCCAGTTTTTCATCTCTCCCCCACACCATAGCATACCACTCCATAGCAGGCTGTGCGGGTTCCAACTCCCTCTGGTATCCATTTCTTCCATGGCACTCTTGAGGTACCATGAACTCCTTTTTACCGTAGTGCTTACCTACCTGGTCCCTATTTCCCAACTTCCTCCCCTCCATTCTGTTCTTCTCAAAAGGTGACCACATTCTTTTCTTCCAGTCCCCTGGGGCTTGTCACATGGAGGAAAAGCATAGTTTATGCTTCCTACTAATCCACTCAAGCCAGCAGCTGCTCTTCCCGTCCTTCCCGAGGCAGCTATCTGCCCTAGTGCCGCCTCCCTGTTTCCTGCCAACCTACTTGACATCACTGACTCTGATCTACCATATTCTGGTTCTTAACAGCTGAAACATTTACTTGGCTTATTAGCTACCTCTCATTAGATTTAGTTCCTAAATCTCATTAGATTTAGGAGCAGGAATCTGTAAAATAATGTGTTTTGCCTGTGCAGGTATATATAAGTAACACATATATGCTTAGTGTCAGCAGAGGCTAGACGAAGGCTGGAGTTAAGGACACTTGTGACCTGCCATGTACGTTCTGGGAACCATGCAGAGGTTCTCTGCTAGAGCAACAGATGTTAATGGGTGAACCCCATGGGACATGAATTTTACAGTTTGCTGCTGTTTCTCATCACAATATCCTGGCTTGTAAAGAAGCTCAGTGTTGAATGCATTAACAAATGAACAGAACTGGATACAGGAGTGAGGCATGGTCAAGGTAACATCTAAGCTTTTGAGGCACCAAGATACAGCAGCCTGAAGGGACCTAGGCTTCAGGGCACAGGGGTAGCTAGAATAATTTTAGATGAATTACTTTGGAGATGTTCATCAGACATTAAATAGAGACACATAAGTAGGCAGCTGAATGTGAGTGTTAAGTCCGTAAGTCTTTATAGAGCTGAATGTTGGAAACCATTGACCTCATGATGAGAGCATTCATCAGAAGCAGAGGAGAATGAGGTCCAAGATGGGATCAAGCCCTCCATTAGGCCAATATTCAGAGATTAGAAAGAGATCACCAAAGACTGGGAGTTCAATGGTGAGGAAACACAAGGGAACAAACTATTCCCAAAACCGAGAGGTGTTCCAAGGCGGTGTGGGCTGAAGGTCAGGCATCACAGGCTTGAGACTCCAGGAGTTTAGGAGTAGGGGCTGACGCTGTCTCAGTGGGGAGGGCATCTAGTTTTGCCATGGAGAACAAATGTACAGTGACCTTCAACTTACAGTCACAGGTCCCATACCATGCTCAACAGACCAGGTCTCCTGTCCTCCCCAAGGCTCTGAAGCCCTGTGTTTGCCACCTTGCCACCCACATCTTCACTTCCCATCTTGCTTGGCTCAGATTCCTTCCTCCGTGACCCATCCTCCCGTCATTCAGGAAAACCTAACTCCCATTAAAACGCAATATGACCAATCTCCTTTAAGGTTAGGGATACAAACCTGAAATAGTGCTTTAGGATGCCCTGCCACCTGCCACAGTTCCCCAAGAGAGCTGACCTTTCCACTCTTTGAGATGACATTTTAACACCACCTCCCACTTTCTGTTGTGGCTCTCTTGGACAATCATGCTTTCCATCTCCCCTGTACCTCATTACAAGCCACAGTCCCTCAAAGTACTGTGCCAGTATATTCTGGGATTCTGCACAAGGATTCCCAACCTGACCTCCAGGAATTATGGATTGTTGAACAATATATAATCCCTACCACAAACCTTGCTCTGTCTCCTGTTCTGCTTTCTCATCAGCAGCTTTACAACCCCAAATCACATGCTTTTGCATTTGTCTACGAAAGCACAAGCCCCTTGGAAGGCAGACTTAGCCAACTCTACCCACATTGCCTACTGAGACCTATATTTCATTCCCCATGGAAGAGAGAGAGGTTCAAAGGCGCTCCCTTCCTGATAAAAGGGTACAGCATATTTTATGAGGAGTTAATTTATGCTGTAAAAGAGGGAACAGAAGGCAGAATACTGGCATAATAGAGAGCTAGAAAATGCAAGAAAATGAGTCAGGATTAGGGGTGAAATCACTCCTTTCCTGCTGGTAATACATATTCTTGGAGTCTTGGCCTGTTCAGAGGGGTGCTGTGGCCATGTTCTGAGAGGACAATTGCCCCAGTTTACTTTCTGCATGAGACTGAGCAAAAGCCGAACGTGCATATCACAGTTCTCAACACATGAAGGCTTCACAGTAAAAATGTTTTTCCATGAACTAAACCATGAAAACCCCAGGGCAACTTTTTTTTTTTTTTCAGATTACTTTCAAATACTATATAAACGAAGAATGACATTTTCATGAACGCCTCTCTCTCTTTCAGGAACTATGTGAAAAACAACATTTGTTTTATGAGTCATCACCAGGAAGAATTAGTGCCAACACAGCTTCAAAAAAGAAAGCCCCAAGAGCAACTCCCAGAGTGTAAGAAGCTGTGTGGAAGGGGACAGTCACAGCAGCCCTCACCAGAGACCTAAGGGGCTCCAATCCCATGTGGCACAGTAGCAGGACTTACAAGAGTCTCTGCCATGGTTTCTCCTCACTGTTATGGAGAAATTTTACATGGACATCCTGAATCTGGAAAAAAAAAAAATCACTATTAATTCCTCTTCCCCAAAACAGACTTTTGCCAAAAGGTACATGAGGCACCAAAGCCCTGATGTCAAGTAAAACAATACTGGAAGGTTCAACGCCTTCAACTTTTCCTCTACTTCAGCTTTGAAAACACTATGTTCTAGTGATGAGGCCTGCCTCTGCCTTAAGCTGTCTGTGTAGGATGCCACTCACAGCTTGATACTCTGACACAGTTGTGTTCTGGTCAGACACTTACCATGTGTGTCTCTGAAGACACTCCTTGCTCCGGGTCTTCTGTCAACACACTGTGGATGATTTCATTGCATCTATGTTGTAGATTAGGATGGTGTCCTGGATAAGACTTCAGTTATCACTCAAGTCCACCAGTACAAAGATTATGCAGCTTGTACAACACACACTAGTCAATCAAAATATTCTTTTGTAAGTCTTATGTCAATTTTTAAAACTCTAAGATAAAACCATTTTCCATCTTTTTTGTTTGTTTGTTTAAATGATTAGAAAAATCACCTTAAAATTACTGGGACCATATTTATTTAGAAATAGCTGTTAGTAAATATTAGTAAAGGAGTCCAACATAATATTATTTATCCAGACCTCTAAGCAGTTAGCTTTAAGTTATACAGTCAAATCTCGTAAGAGTTGCCTCCTGGGAAGGTTTCTGTAGTAGCCTGTAGCACCCCACAGCTTTCTGCACTTCTTCCCACTCCTTAGGAGTCACTCTACCTCAGGTACAGCAGACTGGCCCTCAGTGCTCACCTCCGATGGATTCACACACAGGGAACAGCACTGACATCAGGATAGGTACCTTCCTTTCTGTGATAAGCAGTGATGTTGAGCCATACCTGCAAGGTGGCTTTTACCCACATGATGTGCTTCTCTGGCCTCTATTTTTTCCACTTAAATAAATTTGATAAAGCATTTTACCAACAGAATTTGCAGAAAAAGACCACTTAATTTGGGATTTTCTTCCTTTCACTACCAAACGGTCCCAGTCTGACAGAGTGCATGCCTACCGCATCCCCTGGTAGCAGAGAGCAGAGACAATGACAATGAGAGGAAGCAGCAGTAAGAGAGCAGTGCCTGAGCCTCAGGAGCACAACAGGAGGCCTAGTTCTTAAATGCAGCCTCTAAATTAACCAAGAAGTTGTAAGGGAGGGAGACTTAAATCTTGATTATGTCATAGTATATTTCATATCAAGTAAGAATGTGCACTGGTTTCCTTCGTTGAGGGAAGAGAGGGCAAGGCATGTTTTACAGAGCATCACTTCACATTGATCACGAGTCTCTGGAATTATAGGCCACATTTTAAAAAATACTTAAGGTAGGTTATCAAAGCAAGCTTTTTTTCTTTTGTCCCTCCAAGTTCTCAGATTAGGATATTTTAAAAACTGTTAAATGATTCAGTTTTACACATACATGGGCACACACTGCTATTTCGTTTGTGTACTCCTTGTGAATGGGCGAAAAGTAATACGCAAACGTAGCTTATTACTAATCACTTCACTGGAGTGTTGTAAACCTTCTACTGTTCTTTTCATAGTATGGAACTATACACTTGTGTTTTCAAAATAACTTTTTACCCAGTATTAGTCCCACCCTACCTCCCAGCACATGAAGCCTATGGTTTTCAAAAATAAAAAGGGGGAATACTTAAAACTTGTATGTATATATTCACAATTTTTATTTATATAAAAAATTTTACAGTACTTGTAGAAAACCAGGCAACCCGGGACCAGTAACTGCTTCCCGATTTGTTCCGGGGACTGTGCAGGAAGGAAGGTGCCAGACAGTGCACACACAGGTGAACCCAGACTTGGCCATGCTTGTTCCTCGAACACTTCCCAAGAGCTTCAGCTCTGCCTGGCTTTTAGGTTACTGGACATTGAAACTGTTATAGCATTTAATCTGCACTTTCCCTGTCTGAGTTTCTGTCTCGCATACACATTTCTGAACACTGCAAACCAGGAGTTCACTGTTAAGCAAGTGGTAAACCCTCAGTTTTCAAACAGTCTACCTCTACCTCTGAATTTTTGATAATCTTACAGCAAAAACGAACAAACAAAGCAACAACAACAAAAAAACCCTCAAATATAAAAACAATTTAAACATAACCGAAGGCTTAAAAGAGTCACCACTGACTATGGGAAAAGCAAGTGTAAAAGCTCACCTTTGCTCCCACGTTCTGAAGGAGCTGAGGGGCAGGGTATGAGAAGTCTTTAAGGAAACAAACTGAACATACAAGCCTATGTACTGTTCAACCAGTGCTTAAGTTAGCCTTGTAAGGTTTGTAATATGGTGCACATGTTGTAAGCCTTTGCAAAATGTTTCAAAAACACAATAGTAAGCCAGAGCTTCGTGAGAAATAGTTTAGTTTGTATAGAGAATCTAAATTTTGTCTCTACCTGACTTATTTGTAGGTAAAGCCACTCCTGGCTACACTAAGCACCTGCAAGCTCGGTCTTTCCATCCAGAGCTCATGCATGGCTGAGGGCCCTGTCTCATAGAATGGAAGTTTAAGGGTGGCCTCTCTCAATCCTCCAGGCGTCACCCATCACCTGTACTAGTCAGACACGGGGAGGATGGAGCCGAGCTTGTCAGCGGCTCTCTGGGTCAAGTCGAGCCGGAACCACACAGTGGGACAGACACCGCTTATGGGCACTTCTTGTTAAAACACAATGTCAATCAATTTCTGACAAGACTTTTAGCATAGCCTTGAGCACCAACCTAAGGGTAGTAAGCACCTCAACTGCTCCCTCCGTCTACAGTCAGGCTTTCCAGAATGACAAGGGTAACAGGACTACTGTATATCCATCAAGACAAGAAAAGTCCTCTCTTCAAAACTACAACTTCTTAGCTTTTAAAACACATTTAACATTTTCTATCATATTAAATTAGTAACACAAACATCATTTGATCTGTGAAGTTCTACCCTAGTTACCTAAAGCTTATATACATGCCTTTTACTTCTCATCTGCGAGGAAAAATTTCTAATTGATATTTGGTAACAGAGCATGAAAAGATACTATATACATGTAGCATACACACACACACACACACACACACACACACACACACACACTCACTCCAAAAAGAATCCCACACACTTTAGCCAAAGTCTAAGCAGGCATAGATTTAAAAAATTTATGAATACAGTTGTTTAAAAGAGAAAATGGTGAATAAAAGTTACAGAATGGATATGAAGAGAGATCTTTTCCAAACTTTTATTTGTGCACATTCAATTTAAAAAGATAACGTTTACAGGTTCTTTGGTGCCCATATTCAGCATACAAAAATGTAAAAGACTATTCACAAATCAAACACATTAGCTCCAACTGGAAAAATAATGACATCAATAAAACAACTGTAAGGTAGTGCACACTGTGACAGCGCTGCCTGCGGGGACATGGAGATTACTGCGGAAATAAATACAACGTCCTTTTGTAAAAGCAGCAATGTCATGTCTTGTAAACTTCCTTTTTATATTACAGCAAAGGTTGAAGTAAAATCCAAAGGGACTGGAGCTTACACTGTAGCCGTGAGTACGAGTCTGTCTTCAGTCACTGTTGGTCCAGTTTTCCTTGTGTTTTAAGTCCAATGTGCAGCAGGTTTCAAATGGTGCTCAGTTAGAGACTCTAACCAACGAAGTTCGAGTTATAAAATCTCCTTCCTGCTTTCAAACACGAATGGGTAGATCTGCTCCACGGCAGTGGCCACAGCCTTTACATTGGGCCCTGTAATGAAGAGAATGAGAAGGGTTGAGGGGAGGCCAGAGAGGACACTCTGACTTCCCAGAGCTAGATACACTCCACTGGTTTAAGAGCTCAGGCTTCTTACACAACACTACTGCACACTTACACAGTTCCAGACAGTCAGAGCAAGAACCCAGGAAGTACACTGTTTTAAAACACAAAGTTATGTGCTTTAGTTTCTGGCACTGGTATGAAGAACTGCTCTGTCACAGAGGGGTCCTACAGCAACCAGTACAGGGAGGAAGGACTGTTTGCACAGCCTCCATCTTTGGGTCACTGTCATGAGATTAGACTTAGTCTCCCTGAGGGTCACAGGCCGTGGAAAACCCAGCCAAGAGATGTAATACTGCTACGCAAGCTCTGGCTCTTTCACTGTAGGGTCTGAAAAGTGTCTAGCTTCATGTCAGCACTGAGGCGACCACTGACCTCAGCTTATCTAATTCAGCGGGATTTGGGGGAGGCATCAGGTAATGAGGCCATGCAATGTCGTAATTAGTTACATGATCAAAAGGTATATGAAATGAAGAAACATTTCTTAAATTCTTTGTGAATAAAACTGTCTCACTAATAATATAATCACCCCTTGAAATGTCATGAAAACTGAGATATCTGCTGTAAGCTTCCCTGGTATTGTACACACTGTATTCTGATCCATTCCTTTCTGGCTCACCCCATTGTTACAGTGGTCTCCAGAACTATACAATCATAGGACATTCCACACATATGTATATATGGCATAGTAATTAATCAGGTCAAGTTTGGTAAGATGTTTAACCAGTCCTCTATCAATTCGATAATTATACTTAAAAAAAAAAAAATCAAACACAGTATAGTAATCAACCAGGTCAATTTTCTTAAGTTTGTTTTGGTGTCTTGTTTATCATATTTACTGAGTTAAGTCAGAGTCTCACAATGTAGAGCAGGCTGGCCTCACAAAGATCTGTCTGCTTGAGTGCTGGGATTCAAGGCATTAGCTACTACGCCCAGGATACATATGCGCACACATTTCTATAGGTTTACCCTGTGTTACTCTGTATTTAATAGAGACTTAACTATATAGAAATCTAGGCTCAGAAGTTTAGAAGCATCTGAAATAAGAGAACAGTTTCTCTGTCTCATTTTTAAGCTGCAGGCAAGAGCCTGGCAAGTGGCTTTGAAAGGCCCCAGGAAGATGGGAAAACACATAGCCTGAGGTAAACTGCAGCTCATTTGCTGTCTTCACTCACTGAGAATTACAAACAACAAGACTAAGGAATCTATCTTAGCTCACTTTTGTCTTCAGGGCCTGACTCCTAAAACATGTCCAAGTATAATGTATTATCACAGTGTACTTAAACAGAACTTGCAAGCGAATGCTTCCTGGGACAAAGACATCCACTAAAGCCACCCCTTCCAAGTACTTGGAGGAGTCAAATGAGACAATGAAACACATGGAGAACATAACAGTCAGGAATCCGTTATATTGAATATCTATCTCCAGACCTTAAAAAATGAGTTTCTCCTATGTATTTTAAATGTAATATTGCATAAGTTTAAAAAGTTGTACTATGAAGATTATAGCAGGATATTCCTATTCAAATGTCTACAAAGTACAGTTGTGTACTAGGTACACTGAGATGAGGTGAGGTGAACACAACCATGAGAGCATGAAGAAAAGACCTCCTGAGGATGCTCATGAGAGCAGACACGAGACAAGCCTAGCACAGAACACCTGTAGATCCATGTTGTAGATTACCTGTCACTGTGATACTTCCTGTTGAAAATATTTGTAACGTTGCTCTTAGAGACTTTATCCGATAGCACACGGCAGGATGAAGCTCAGGTTCATAGCTATATAAAAACACAATTATGTTTCCTTATTTATACTGAATGGCAGCTTCGAAGTTTGTATGTTATCTCGATTCTCAAAAGACCTACCTGGCATGAGGTCTATTGTTCTTTGTGAATTCTGGCAAACGGATTTCAAAGGGCATGTTACAAACTGCCAAAACATTCACAACCTTAAAATCTGTAAAAATTACCTGTGGAAGAGAAGTTAAACACTATAAATTATTTTGAAGCACATAAAAGTCTCATTACAACAATCTGTACTAATTACAAATTCTCTATTAACATCATTATAAAATGGTATTTGCATAACTGAAACTGTATTTATTGACTTTTAAATTTTATGAAATTAATCTTATTAAATATTGAAAATGGGATATTTAAAACTGAGAAAAGAGCTAGAAAAGGAAAGGAGTTAAAAGGAGTTCCAGAGTCAGAATGGAAAAGCTGTCATTTGATGATTTAATACACAGAGTGAATGCTGGGTTCGTAAATTCATTTTAAAGGCATTTCTGTGTCCTTGTGGTGATCCAGTCGGAAGCCGTTGTTAACCAGTAGAGATTTCTCTAACACTGGTAAGCTTATGCTAGGGCAAGAAGCTTTGATTGTTTTAATGTTAACAGGTGCTCCTGCTAACATCTTTTAAAAACATTTCTCCCTTCCCATTCTCTACCCCAAAGCCCCATGTGTGTGTGTCTGTGGCAATGGGCGTCATGCTTAGAGCCTTCCACATTCAAGGCGAGTCTCTCCCACTGTGCTATATATAATATATACTCCCGGTTAGACATGCCTCTGTAAACCACAGTTGTAGTGACAGCTACCCTCCAACGCAGGGCCTGCACAAAGCAGGAGAGCTACAAATGCTATGGTGCCACATCACCATGCTCTGTGGTCCCCACCCCTCACTGGCAGTGCACTTCTGTCTACTTAATGCCTGCCTACAGCATTAAGAAAGTCGGACTTTCTGCCTACTCAAGAGCACTTCTTCTAGGACATCCTACTGAATGTGACCTACCAAGGCCCACTGTAAGTGGTAATTTTATTCACATTTTGATGGTGACAAAGTACTTGAAGTTGACAAGCCAGTGACCGGCAACTCTACACGTGAGAGGGTGCTGTCCAATATGTCTGTCGCAGGGCTCTACAGCTCTCTCACCATCCTGACTAGGTGTCTTAAGGCAATCAAAAGACATTTCCTGACGAACACATGTGTGTGGTGAGGGAGGTAGAAAAGCCTGAGTTCACAGAGCATTAATGTGTAAGGAAACAAGTCTCTATGGGAGACAATTTAAGGAAAAAAGCATCATCTTTTCCAAATCAAAGAGCCATACTTTGTTATCAAATGTTGACACCGAAGGGCAAATAGAGAATCTAGAAAAAATTCAGCAGAGAAGAATTCTTGTGATTTGTTTAGTCTATTGAACTTTTCAATTTATAAAATTAAATCCTTGAACATGTGCAGTATT